TTTAGAGGACCAAACCAGAACCTATGATTATGACTCCCATTTTATCATAGACACTTTGGGTCGGTGAAAAAAGGAATCTTCTTGTTTTATGCTAAAGTAATTTCTCTTTCAATCAAACCGCACTGATTTGCGATTTTCTGACAATCATAGTAAAGAATTAAACCTGAACTTAACAATTTCATATGGCCTCAAAATTGTAATTTCCGTTGCACGAAATTGTTTTCCATTCAATTTTGACTGCAAAAGCGCTGTCACAGTTTCTTAAAATTCTTTTTGCACGTACTTTAATTTACTTCAAAATTGTCCTTATTTGTGGTATACTGCTGGTCTCGTTTGTCAGATTTTATGTTTTGTTTTCAGCAAAAGCCATTATATAATTTTTTAAGTGAGTCTTAAGTTTAAAAGCTCATGAATCTTTTTGGCTATGAAGTAAGCGGAAGGAGTCCTCTCATTAAGAGCTATAGTCAGTGCACATCCTTGATGATGCTTGATAATGGTTTGGATGATGGATTGGTCGAATGCAGCGATAAAAGTTAAAAGCCGAACATTAAGTTAGGATAAAGCATTCTGAACTGTGTTAAAAAAAAAAAAAAGAGGCGCCGTGGATTCTTTGTTATTATAACTCTCTATATGAAGCCACCTCATTCAAAAAAGTTAAACTTATCACCTTTAAATCTGCCCGTTTAGTCGCATTTCTTGAGATAGGTAGTAAAAAAACCCAGCGAAAATAACTCCTAAAATGTTAGACCATTGTAACGAAGCGCACGGAGGCCAGAATTTCTTTCACCTTCAAGCCTCCTTGGGTATCATGTTAGCCACACCCGCTGTTCTCTCGAATGCGTTCTCGCTGATAACCATCTATCAAGCTCCTAAAGAGAGAAAAAAATTAGGCAAATACCTGCAACTCTCTTAATGGTGAACCTTCGCATTTGCGACTTACTGACCGGACTTGTATCAGAGTACGGATTCGTTTTTTACGGTATCTGTATTGTAAGAGGCCACATGCAGGGAAGCCTTGTTGGATTACCAATTTTAGCGTTTTTCCGCTGCGATCGTGACCAACGTTGTTTCATCTGGCGCCATAGCTGTGATGTCTTTAACCGTTTGTTCGCAATTTAATCTCCTCTTAAATACAAAGTGCGGCCAACCAAAACGAAGAGACGTGTTAAATTAGGGATTTCGCGGATTTGGATTTATTCTCTGATATTTTCGAGTCTTTTCGTGAGAGGAGTTACAATCACTCTGTTCTTGTTCTTGTATATTGCCATCTTCATGTAACGATTCCTATTATCGTCTTGCCTATGGTATACTGGAAAACATTCCGTGCCCTTCGCTTGCACATAATAATCAGGTGCAAGATGTAGCTGATGATGAGGGAAGACAGCAAATGGAACAAGGAACGCAAAATGATATCCTCTTTCTCGTCATTTTGTTCTATGGATCTTAGCCCAACAATTCAGTTTTTTAATTTGACCCGAAATACATAAATTAAGAAAGTTTTCGGATCTTTCTGTTTGCACCGAGCAAAATTGTCTTAGTAAATTGTTATCTAAACTCATTCATATACGCGTGGAGAATTCCAATTTACAGAAGAGCACCAACGGCGGTTTTCAGTGGCTGTGTTCGCCTGCCAAGATACACAGTTTCCATAGTAATGCAAAAGCTCGCCGTTAACCGCAGTGACCACGCAGGCAACATTAACAGTTTAAGATCTGATGGATTACTTACATACTAAAAGACAGCACTTTCCATCGGTTTACTGACGCAGTCCCTTTCGCGAGATGTTTAAAGAACACAAAAAAGATATTTTACTCAGGAACCGATTTCCTTAAGATCTCAAGCTTATTGGTTTGCTAGGAGAAGTAAAAAATCCCGTCTGATGCTATTTCAAGTAGCCGTGGGTTTACTGCTGTTGACAAACGACAAGCTCTTGCGTAATATTTCAGATGTTTCTTAACCACTTATGAAGTTTGTAAGTTTATCCAGATGTTTCAAAATATTTGTCTATTCAGAAATGGTTTGATGCTACTCTGGTTGGCAGATTTAATGAATGTAACCGAAGAAGTTACAATTCATAGACCCAACGTTTCGACACTCCTGTCTAGTGCCTTCATCAGGGGTGATCTAAACGCATACCATGTCTGATTGTCCACCTGGTTGCCGTGTGAACTTTAATATATGTCTATTCTTTAAGCGACATTTGTCGTGAATTTGTCGCTTGGATAAATGTGCAACGCAAGATTAGGGCGAGATATAATCTCACGACACGTGGGATTATGGAAAGACTATAGCTAATAAGAAAGTGGACAGGAAATATCAGAATATGGACTGGGAATGTTTTCGCTTTAGAAGCGAACGGAAATGTGTTTCCTCGGGCGTCCACGCTGTAGATCGTCGATCAATTAAAATTACTATGTTACATTCCTTATTTTTCTCCGCCATTTTCATCGACAAAAGTTTTCAAAACTCAGGTTTAATTATTCGGTCGGCTCGAGCAAGAATATGACGCATGTAACAGCGCCAGGGGCCAGTAGAGTTCAACATTTTTTTTTTTAAGTTGGTAAGTTTCTAAAGAAACTGTGGTGCTGCGTCGGTGAGAGAGTGTAACAGGGTAATTTAGTGTTATCAACTGAGTTGATAATGTAAATTGGCCACCGTAAAGAGTTTAAAAGCTGACGTTTCGAGCGTTATCCCTTCGTTAGAGCTATTGGAGGAGTTGTGGTTTGTGTGAAAAATATACAGAAAATTGAGCTAGGTCATTGGCGGGAATATGGTGATGAGAATACAAGAATAAATTAGTTGAATGAAAAGCGCTCCTTGATACCGTGGGGATTTAGAGTGCCGATTTGAAAGATAAATTTTTGTTATAGAGTTTTGCGGCTTTCCGAACTGCCTAGATGTAAGGAAAGGCCACAAACTGCCATATGCTCCTTGGAATGATTGGGAAGATTAAAGTGTCTAGCGACTGGTTTGGATACTTTGTTCTAGGGAGAGCTTGTCCATTGATGAGACAGGCAGTGGATTTAACCTTTTTAAGCATATTGCGAGAATTAGTAGTCGAGGAAGGGTCGCGTGTGTTATTTACATTTAGGAATGTCCTTGTATTTGGTGGCTGCAATATAACAGTGTAGGTTTCAGTAGTAGATGTAATTGTTGTCAAAAAGAGAGAATAGAGTGACGTTTGTTTTGACCACTGCGTCTGACATATGTTCATCTTTTTTTTCCCTTTTTTATATGGTGGTAGGTTTCGTAAACTCAAGTGTACGATACTGAATATTCGTAGTTTGGCTGATGGGTCGTAGCTTTGTATTAAACAGAGATTACGTCACGTTTAGCCACGGTTTTCGAATTAATTTAGGGATTATTCATGTTTCATAATTTTATCGGAAATAAATCTTAACTAGCTACTTCATTTTCAATGCTTTAGCCTTAAAATTTTTCGTTAGTAAAAATTTTTTCTCCTGATTCTATAATAAATTGAGACAGGTCTGTTTTCTTCGATGTTTTTTTTTTTTTTGGTTGTTTTTTTTTTGTTTTGCTTTTTTTCTGTGGACAGTGAGTATCTTGATTCAGGATGTTTCCATCCACAGTTTTTTTGGCAGTCTCTCTCCTCTCAGCAGTGTACAATTGAACTTGTATTAAGCGGTCACCCCGTATTTAACGGTTGGTTGCTAAGTCCCAGATTTGTTTCTTCTAAATCACTATTACCTTTGACGAAGCTTCAACGACCTGTTTGCATCGTAATTAACCTTTTTTGAACGGTCACTCAAGGCTGAGACATTCTAGAATAAAAAATAATCTTTCAAGTAATTTTTAATCCATGTTTCTCTTCCAAAATCAGGGTAAGTAGTATTTTTGAGCGAAATTATGTGCATATTTTTGTCAATTATGGCATAAAGTGGCGTTGTGTATCGTTTTTTGTTAGGTCTTATAAGACCCCTAATCTAAGGAACCTGTATTAGCAGTACGTTTGCTCTGCCATTTCCTGTGGGTGGCCGCGTAATGCATGTTTGACTGTGTATGAAACCTTACACGGTAACAATCACCTTAAAAAATTCTGAAAGATAACCTGCAATTACAAACAAGGCTCCTTTGGCATTTTATCCTCCCGGGGAAGGGGTTGGGGTAGCTACTATTTTGTTTACCTCTTAATATTCTTAATGCGGGCTCAAGATCCCACAACCTTCCATCCTTGAATGCTATGGAAATGCCAAAAATCTGATTCAGCGTTTTTACTCTTTTCAGCTGTAAACTCAGCTAGTTATTGTCCTTTAAAAATAGCTTTAAATGTTTCCTGTCGATGCTCGATATGTCCCCAATTATTCTGTTCAAATTGAATACTTTACCACAGCTTTCTAATTTGGCTAAGACTCATGACATAATCATTACTGCTTTTAGCATTTGAAACTTCTCTCCACCACGAATGACTAATTGATAATGGCATGATTTATACATGTATGCTGTTTTTCAATAACAAGAAAATTGGGAATTTTGCTTGTAAAGGAATTAAAACTAGGTCACAACGCATGTGAAAGTGGTATAAAAAGGGACGGCCAGCCCAAAAATCACATCTTTCCTTTGCATAAATAAGCTTTCGGGTAAATCCAATTGAACTGAACAAAAACAATAGACAACTCTTTGGTGTCTGGCACTTAAGTAAAGCTACCGTCCAAACATTTTGCATCGACCACCTTGCATCATAGAGCGATCAAAATTAACAGTAAGTTCTTTTATGTCGATTAAAAAAAAATTACTAAAAATTGTCTTTCTTTCACTAATGCTTATGCGCCCAGCGAATGCCAACTCAACGGAAAAATATTATATTGCGTTCAAAATAATTATGCTGGAAACAAAAAGCTTGTTCATCGCTTAATTATTTCTTCTGCTTCCAAAGAAATAAAGAAGTCACACTTTTTCAATGATCTCAAGAAGAAAAAAAATCATAACATTAAAATGGCATGGCAATGAAGTTAGAATTTAAAACTAGAGTTAAATTTGTCAATGTTGATTGAGTAGATTACCGAGGTTGCTTACTTATGATTCCTTCTTTATGTTATGTGCGCATTCTATTGCTGGCGCGGTTTTCCGTTGAAAGAAAGGCACCGCGATATTTTTTCTGCCTTTTGAGTTTAAACTTTTATGGACACTTTTCCGTCGGGGAGTGCCTTTTGCATTGTTAGACTGGTGGCGGATTTTTAACAGGAAGCGCCTTAATTAATTTTTCTCCTATAGCAAAATGGCCGTAGAAGTTTTCTTTATCTGATGCAGTCACCAACAACATAGTCTTAGCGAGTTGCTTCGCCGGTTTGTAAGTAAATTAATATTGGTCTTACACGATTTACGCCCATACATGATTTTTATAGATACGTTATGTACTAAATAGTCAAATATAAAAAAAAGAAATCTCCCTTTAACATAGGCAACAACTGAACGTGCCTGAACAAAGAAGCCTAACTAGCATATGTATTAGGCTATTGTTGATTCAAATTCATCAGAAAACAATCAACTGCTCCCGATAAAAGGGCTAATATGTTTGTCAAATACCTCATTCGCTTCCAGTTCAGCGCACAGTGTGGACGACCAGGAAACCAAGATTATGGAATTCACTTTGCCAGTACATGACGATCGTCACATTAAGAGGCCGTTGAACTCCTTTATGGTATGGGCCAAGGAACGAAGACGAGAGATGAACAGAGATAACCCAAAAATGCGCAACGCCGAGATTAGCAAAATCCTTGGAGAGGAGTGGAGGCAGTTGTCGGACGAAGTGAAAAAGCCTTTCGTTGAAGAAGCCATACGCCTCAGGCGCCAGCACAAGATCGATCATCCAAACTACAGGTACAGGCCACGACGAAAGAACCGCCTGGAAGCCAACGGAGAAATTGTTCAACGTGAAGGATACCGCCAACCGTTGGCTCTCTATCCGAGCGCTGGTGCCACTTCGTCTGGATTTCTGGCCCATTCCCTACATCAAGACTATAAATCAGCAATGTTTCCACCCCGGTTTGCCCATCACGACAAGCCAAACTTCCCAAGCGAACACGCTTCAAAGCCCGGTAACAATTCAGCGGGTTACATAGCGCCATTTCCAGTACGGCCATCCGATGTCCCATCTTGGAATGGGTATTTGTCACCGGCAACATCACCTTATTACTTTGATCCACCCCGATTCACCATGTCTTATGAAAGTCCCGTGCGAGCAATCCATCCAGGAAGGATATCACCTGTTAAAGATAAGCTGCCAAGCCCGAACAACCCGGGCATGACAGGAAATCATTCCACTACCTGGCCGTACTTTGCCCTCAAGGCAGAACTGCAATACGTCTAAATACAGTTTTTTTTTCTTTTTGTAATCACGTGGTTTATGTGTTTTCTTAGTTACTTTAATGCTATTACCAAACAAAAAAAATTGTAGTACGTGGTTTTTTATGTTTATTTAGTTTTCACTTTAAAGCCTCATTGTGTGATTTTGAAATTATTTGACTTTGCAGTGCACCGTAAATGCTAATCAAACATTGGCAAATGTTGATCCATGTTTGTTTTGATAATAAAGCCTGAAATGAGTTCAGCTTAAGAAAATTGTGTATCTTTTATTTGCGGTTCGCTTGAGACAACCTTCAAATGGCAGTTACAATTTTATCCTTCATTGAAGCGTAGAATATACAAAATTATTTACCTCTTTTGAATGGTATTCACTACTAAACGAGATGTAATTTTCCTCGGGCTTTATTATTCAGGAACATTTCATTAATTGTACTTCCTTAAATGTTTATAGTTTAGTAGATTGCAATTATTTACCCCCTCACAAATAGCACATCATACGGGGAAGGTATCACATAATTTTAATTTTTACTTGAACATTCATGATGTGCGAAAACCGACACCAGGCGTGTGAACCTTTATGTCAAAATCCTATTGAGTAAATTTTAGTGTCAAAATCTTTGTCTAACACAATATAGCACGTGGGATTATTGTTAATTGGTTTTAGCCTGCCGCACGTCTGCTAAGAAGAAAGGTTTCCTATTTTTATCGGTCCAATTGAGTTCCTTTTCAATAGGAAAAAGCCGGCTTTCAAATTTATATTTCTGAAGCTTAGTCCTCCTGGAAAATTTACGAGATAATCTTTTCCAAAAAATATTACTCTATATCCGGTCATAAAACGCTTCGATAGTTTTGGGTGTGTATTTTACACCTTAAATTCGCTAATATGACCACTGATTGACAAAAATCAATGGTTTAGAAATTCACTTAAAGCTTGAAAGTAACAAAAAACTGCGCGTTATGGAGAGTGTGCCAATACAAGCTCAAAATGTTTGGACAATCAAAGAGGCACACAAAAAAGGCTTATACAAAAGTTGTATATCGTTTATGCTTATTGACGAAGATTAGCATTAATCTTCTGCACGGAAGCCAAATGGGGCGAAAATAAGTCCTGAATCAGTTCGTTTTTTCGGTGCAGTGATTCTCAAACGTCTGATGTGATCCAATTTTAAGGCAACTATTTCTCTGAAAGAGGGATATCATAAAATTTACGTCGCTACTGCGGTAGTTCCATTTACGCATGCCGCCATTTTGATGGACCAAACTAAGGTTTTTTGTTTTGGTCTTTTGTCATTGAATGGAATCCCAGGCTCTCTCAATTCAATAACGGAAAAAAAACACACCGAAGATAAAATAAAGCACGTAAGATAAGAAAATTAATGAAATTGCCTCGAAAATTTGTCTGGAATGATAAAAATTTCAGACGCTTGACAGAAAAAAGGAAACAAAATTATTAAGAGTAACTTTGTGTCAGCAGGGGAAAATATGATTTTTCTAGTCATTGTCTCCGTTTTCAGCCAGTTTAGTTTTTGTCTCACATCTAAAATTGTTGTTTTTATTATTCTTGAGGCCACCTGGTGAACAAATTTTTCTTTCTGATAAACGAATACTTTAGTGGAGAGCTGATGTTTGGTCTAAAGTTCCGGAGGCGGCGTTTCAAATATTATGCCAGAAGCATTGCAGCTTGTCTAGTTCTATAGACGCTAAATGAAGTGTGCAAAATTCGCTTTCAAGTCGCTTTTACTAATAATCGGCAATAAAAAGAGAGAAATGTTGCGTGAAATAGACTCTTTAAAACAAATTTAAGCTATAAAAGAGCTTGTTTCAGATCTTTCGTGCAAGAGTTTGTTCAATTTTTTACAGGCAACAAATTGTTGATCTTTTGTATGTTTTCACTGTTCTGTTTCCTTTTTTCCACAACGCGTCTACATGTGCTTACATAAAATGCGTTTTCAGTGTCTTTTGTTTTCCCTAAGGGTGACCAGATCAATTCCAGGCATTGAATACAGATTCAGGGTTCCCAGCATGTTGTGAAAAGAAGTCACCAAAACGTGGAAATTCCATGAAAAACAGGACAGGTAATTATTTGTGAAAAGGTCTGTCTCACTAATGTTTCGTTCCTGAAAATCACGCCAAAAATAAAATAAAGGGTGGAACTTTCGCTTACACGTCAGCGTGCTTTGAAGGAACGTCAAACACCAAAATGGCAAAATCTCATGGCCAATATTTACAATTTTGTTTCGTGCAGTAGGACCGCTAGGAGCATGAAAAGATAAAAGCGTATGCATGTGGCTTCTCTGAAAGAAATTGTTTAGAAGCTTTATTTTTACAAAAGATTTTCCTTCTTTTTTGAAATGGAGGCAAGAAAAAGTAAATTTACCGGTGAACTAATTCAAAAGGCCTCGTGTTCGCCTTTACTACTTTTAAAGAACAAAAGTAGATCTGTCGGCCTATCTAAAAAATTACTTGCCATTCATCGTTACTAGTTCATTAATTTAAGGAACGTTTCAGCACAGGATTAGAGAAAAAATTCGTGTTTAGTCAGCTGCATCATCTTTATCAGAAAACTACAGAAGTGAAAAAAATCAAGACACCAAATCAGATAAAAATCATTTTCTATTTACCCCCTCCCTGCCTCTTTGTGATACTGAATGCTACTCATGAAAAGCAGGCGCACAATTCTTGTTTTTTCCGTTGCAAAAAGATCAGGGAAGGGTGCAAGTCTTTTTAAGTCAATCATTTCTGAGATTTCGGCGAAAGTAGACCAGTTAGGCGGAAGCTTTATATACTTCAAGAAAATAAAAATCACAGTCTCGTTTCTAACAGCAACGAAATTTTAATCGTAGATATTGTACTCTGAGCACAACAAAATGAAATTTGTTCAATTTAAGCGCTAATATACATTGCAGCTATGGATCTACCTGCGATTTGCATATCTGGCCTAGCAACCACATTGATTTGAAAAGAGAGAAAATGTTGTGAATCAAAACTTGTTCAGCACGAACAAAAAAAGTTTCGCTCAGCATGACTACCACAGCGGGATACATTATCTCGCCGCACCGTAGACACCAGCGTCTTCTCTCCACGTTTCTCCCGTTTTTGGTTTCGCGCACATTTCCCCCCTCACCCTGCTTGGAGTACTCATGGCAGTTTGCCATTTGATGGCAAAACCTACATCATTTCTGGGATATTTTCATTTCACTTACAGTACGTAACAGAGGGAGTGATAAATTTACCTCATTAAGTCCTAGATTCTTGTAGATCATGACCAAAAAATAAAATTCAGCATCTTATCAAGCAGAATGAAACATCTCTGAGGAAAATTTTGCGCAGAATACATGGGAACGCCATATGGCTGGGAATTAGATTCATATTTTGTGTATCATTGCTTTTATTTGTTATGTTGATCATTAGTATCAGTACATTTCTGTTTGGCAATGTAAATTGAAACTTTATGCTATGTAATTTATCTATCTATCTATATATATATATATATATATATATACATATATATACATATAACTCTCTGTCTTAGAATCTATATACGTATATTTTTCAAATAAATAAATATACATACATATATATATATGTATATATATATACACATCTATATGATGAATCGACTGTAATTGAGTTATAAATAGGCTTGTGTGAGGAGGAAAAAATGGTTCATGATCTAGTCGTAAAATCTGTACAAATTTAAATGAATTTAAATCAAATTCTCCAAGAAATATGTAAGTTGATTTGTTTATTTTTTTCCTATGCTGTGCAAATTTAACGCGATTGAATGATTAGAATAAGTTAAAATCAGTGATTAAAAATAGTATTACAAAATCCAATTTTAAATTTGCAGAAAAGAAGCTTTTACTTAAAAATTCAACGTGCAAATATTGTCGTACAACTAATAACAATTTGTCGGCATTTATTGATGTTACAAAAAGACAACTAAATTTATGGAGGTTAATACCTGTCAATAGAAAGCAATTTTGCATGAAAACCAATTTCTTGGAGTAGTTTTAAGATAGACAATCTTTTTTATGAATGTTTCAGTACTCTACTACTAAGTTTATAAAGATGCTTATATTGGAAAGGTAGAACTGGTTTTACTTCGACATTTCTGTTTATCATACATAGTTTTTTCCCCTTTTCTTTTCCTATATGCATGAATCAAGTCAGCAAATGTAAATAACAAATTTGAGTATTTCATAAAAAGCGGTTTAGCTGAAATTTAAAGAAAAAAGGAAAATGATAATCTTAAAAAGAGAAACAAAGAACGAAATAATAATTAATCAGTTTTCTTAAACTCACAGCTTGCTTCGCCTTTTTTATGAGCTTTTGAGTTATCACATAATAATTTTTATGAAAGAAAAATTCTGAAAGTATATTTAGCAAATTTACAGTTAGTTCCCCAATGAAACTACGCTTAAATCGCTTTTACGATAGTCATGCAAATGAGTTCTTGAACGCATCTCTGAAGAAAATGAGCTCCGCGGAATCAGCACAAGTACACTTATATTTAATCCTCTTCGGCTACAGTCTGCCGAACTATTAAAAACGCCGCTTATAGAAAAAATAATAAATTTTTAGCATGACGAATTCGACAAAAAGGAAATGAAATCCTCAATTTTTACTTGTAATAGCTACAAACACACATTCTACCCCTCTTCAAAATACAAGATGTTGGCGCGAAATATTTTCTTAACTTTTATGCTAAAAAAGGTCAGGTCACAATTCTCTTTACTTTTCTGCCTCTCTGACACGCTGCTTAAACATCTTTAATGGTTTTTACCATTATTTTCCTCTGAACATTAATTAGAAATAACGATTATTCTGGCGGCTTCATTATATAGCGGAAGTGTACATTCAAATAGCGCGCGGCATCCTTAAGAAAACTTTTAAACCTTTTAGTAAGTTCAGATTTGAGGCACTTTTTAAAAAGTAAGTTGGACAGAAAGCCATGCCCTCAAAGGGAATAAACAGATGAAATAAAAAAGGCGTCATCAAATAATGATTGAAAAAAAAAAAAAACAAAAATTAACGATCGTGGTTCAAGTTCTCATCGGTGTAAAAAAATAGGAAATCTTGTTTTTGATGATCATAAATATTTGATTTTTTTATTTTAGTTCCTAACTTGGGAATTATCCACAAAAGATAGCTACTAATTTACAATCAATTTGGAAACGTTGGGAAAATAAAAACTGAGTGGTCGTTTCTTTAATCCCATGAGGGGACGCAAATCGTCTGCACTGTAAGTACATATCAAGCTCTGTAGGTGATTTAATCCCATTTTAATCCCATCCGATCTCACAATTTACGAAAACTTCATTATTCTTGTGAAAAATGATAGCCGTCTTATTGAAACTTGATGACAAGTATAAGCCGGCAAAGAAAACAGTGCAAAAGCAATTATCTGTTACATCGATGTCAGCAGCAACAGGATTATGACACCTTACAGTTCCCAACTAAAGACTAAAAGTCTAATAAAATGTAGGGGACTCTCCGGGATACTTACAGTACAGACGATTTGCGGGAGTTAATCCATACGATCGAGAAAAAAAGTGAAGATTATCAATTCTTAATGGTTTGAAAAATCGACTATCAATTACCTTAGAGACTGATTGAGCAAACAGCTGCATTAATGAAAGTTAACTGATGAGAAAATAATAATTTGTGAGCATAAGGGCGACTGAAAAAATTTCTTTTCCTGACAACCTTATTTTTTAATCGTTAGGATTTTTGTAACATTGCAATTTTATCTCTCCATTGACTTTTTTATTCGCTCCCCTTTTGATTTATTGAAATGTTTCAACTTTTTCAAATGACAACAGAGGCCGCAACTTGAAATAAAATAAGTAGAGAGAGGACATCAAAAGTCTACAAAAAGGGAAACTAAAAAGTTGTGCACAGACAACCGATGTCTTTCCTGACTAATAGGATACATGAAAAAATAACTCAGTTCTGACTGGTTAAGATAAATGCAGTTTTCAGGTAATTCAGTGCAGAAGAGGGTTAATTCAGTGCAAAGAAGTAACAAACCCAACTGAACAATTCCTTGAACTGTTTGGCCGGACTTTGAACTCTTTTGCACCTTACAGATGTGAAAATCGCATTGCATGTTATTGCTTTGATCGTACGCGGTTGTTTTGACCGAGCGCACAATGTCACATGCAGGATTTGAATAAACTATTTTTGCGCTCGATGAGCGCGCTTTGCTTCTGCCTAATTATGATAACCTATCTCGTATTTTTTCGTGTATATTATTAATACGTAATCACATGATTTTTCTCGTGCAATTTAGAATAAATAAGCGCTTGTAAAATTTTTTCAAAGACTAACAAAATTGCACTCGCCTCGTGCAATTTTGTTTGTCTTTGAAAAAATTTACTCGCTCTTATTTATTCCAAATTGCTCTCAAATCATGTGATTACCTTTACAAATTGAATGTGGGGAAGCATTTTCAAAGCGGAGTCTATGGAATAATCCAATAGGCGGATTGATTACATCAAAATAGAGCGCTTTCCGATTGGGTGTCGTAAAACCAATCATAATAATCGCAACAGCCAATCAGAACTCAAGGTATAAAAAGGCGAACTCTCTTGAGCGCGGGAAAACGTGCGTGACCAAGTCATGACTAACTTAAGTATCGAATCTGATTGGTTGAGAAAATGGCGCGAGTTTTCTGCTGAACCAGTCACTGGGCGAATCAAAGCAAAACCAAAACATTTTCGAACTAGCTTCGACATTCAATTGAAAACTGCTCTAAAACGCGGGAACGTCAATTAATAGCACGTTACATGATCTCGCTAAGCGGTGAGAATGAGCGACCGGCAGCGCTCTAACGACGTTTGGTGGCTGTAACGGGAAAGGATAGCGGAGTAGCTTCCAGAACAGACCTTACTGCCTTGCATTTTTCAGGTGAGCGGAGGCGACTTGAATACTGGGTTTGACGTCCTCAATTCAATGTGTTCATGTTTCAAAACAACTGAGTTTCAATCAACAAAGCAGCATAAGAGAATATCCTTTCTGTCAGCAAACTTTTCATCATATATCATCGATGTACATTCCGTACGGTCACTTCCCTGAGAAACTAAAGCTACTTCTACGTGGGACACGTCCCTAACTAAGAGGCTCCTTTCGATGTCATCTAAGAAAGAGAGAACATTAATTGAACTGAAGGCATAGTTCCTTCAGTGGAATAGCTAAGAAACAGGCGAGATTCTATGTAAAATGCTTTTGTTTGGGTCTTCAGGACCTAACGCACAAGCAGACCACCCAATGGGTACAACAGGCAGAGCAAACTTTTTGCAATAAAAAGTCATGTAGACAGTTGCGAATCAAGAGCTGAAAATAAAATACAAAATTATAAATATCATATCTTTGTCTAAAAATCCTCAATAAAGTATAACGAAATGCTTGCGCACTTCAATAACTTTTTAGCTTCCGTGGGTAGTTAATAACGTCCTTTACTTTCTCATTCTCAACTACTGGTGTAAGAATACTTAACTACGCAAAAACTTAATTTCACTGTATTCCGGTTTTTCAGGCAAAGATACGGTGGTTATTCTATTTTTTCAGTACTTTCTTCGGAACAGTCCTAGAAGACTGTCCAGTTTCTCGTCTCGCCCATCGGGTGGTCTGCCTGTGCTTGACCATGCATAAAGTTCAATATCCCTCCAATCATTTGAACCAACTGACAAATAGTCACGTCTTTTGGCGAGAGTGGCGAAAATAAAACGACTTGAATCCAACAGGGACACGAACCTCTGACCATCGGTTCCCGTTCTTTACCCACAGAATACTCAATAGTACGCTACATGCACGCTATTAAAAGACTGATATCAGACACGCGTCCTGCATGTGGCACTTTTGATACAAGTGTCAAAAGCCAAAACCGGTCAGGGTAAACTCAAAACGCTAATGACCAAGTTGCAATGGTTTTTAGTTTCGAATCTGATTGCTTGAGAGCATGGCGCGAGTTTTCTTCACCCATCACAGAGCAAAGTTAAGTGAAACCAAGGCAATCCCGGATTAATTCAGACACTCGATTGAAATTGCTTTACTATGGGGATCAGCAATATTTAAAGCGTTGAGTGAGTGAAAAGGACAAGAAAGATGGTAAATTTTGAACTCGGTTGTTGAGTGAAGAATAAAGTTTCCAGTTCTCGTGGGCTATTCAGATTTTTTCCTTTTCCTCACGCTTGCGTACAGACGGATATCATCTCTTTAACTTCCATTTTCTTTTTAACATGTCAATTAATCTAAATCAATGTGTGGATGCAAAAGGGAAATAATATGCAAGAGCCAAGAGTTCCCAACATGAACTGCCACAGCGTTTTTATTTTAATTAGTTGTTTTTATTACTCATCTCTCCTGATTATGTTTAAGAAAATCGAACAATTCAAGGTTTCACAAAAGGTGGGAAAACAAAAATTTTAAGAATAGGGTGGAAGGACTGCTTTTCAAGCAAACTAAAACAATAATGGAGAGTGATATAAAGAAGTAAAAGCCATAAAATTCCTTAAGTGAATAAGAGATGAAAAGATAGACCCTGGGAACAAGCTTGGCATCACCAAACAACTTCTCTAAGATGTGGGACTGCGCATTTGTGATATAATAGACTGAATCAACTCCTTACACCAATACAACATATACTTTAGGGACACAACTTCACTAATTCTTGGAAAGAAAGACTAATTTATATTCCAACATTTTGAAATGTTTCTTGCTCATAGTCATGGTGCCTTTGATGTTAATTAAAACTGACATGAGACTAGATTTTGTTGAAGTTGTGACGAGATGATAAACCCATGTGTGGATAACAAAAAAAAATGCATAAACTAGCCAGGCACTACAATCCATTCCTATTTATACAACTGTAAATAAATTCATTTATTTGCTTATTGCTCTTCATTTTTCCTAAGGTCATATGCTATCCTAGGAGATGTTTCTTAGCAGCAACAGTTACTTTCCTTTCAAAGTTGGGTGATTCAATCTTTTTGTTCATGTCATAAAATGGATTCATAATAACCTGCAATAATAAAAGGGAAAAAATGTGTTCAAAACCAGGCAATGATATAAAGCAAAGATTCATACACACATTACAGAGTGTAACACCACCAAACAAATGCTAAACATCAAAACTGTTATACATAGCAGGGTAAATAACATACAAAGAGAATGAGGTGTCCTTTGGTTTTTCATTAGTTTGAAAGAACATTTTACCATAAATATGTCAAGGTGGCTAAAAAATCGTTTCATTGTTTTCTTACTCTAGTTCTTTGTTAGACTGATCTTCCCACACCTTTTCGTGTTCCGTGAAAATAGTGTCAATGTGTTTTGATCATTTCAAATTTAATAGCAACATTACAGCCTCTTTCAAGTGCCATCCAACTAATTTTTTGAACCAAGGGTAACTTAAGCAAAATGTCACTGATACAGTGTTTTAGGAATCTGTGTCGTTGCTATGGTGACCATAATTGTTAGAAAAATTATCTCAACTGCATTAAGAAATAGTTGGGCATTGTTTTTGGCATCAGTACTAAAGAAACACATTGTTAAATGGAAGCTCCAATTCATCAAAGAATCAGTTTTTAAAAACAAGGAAACCATTTTGAGCTACCTTGAGTCTGAATTTGTAATATCATGATGGTTCAATTCCCAAAATTCATACTTTGTACCAGTTGACTGAGTGAGAGAGCTGGTTGGGAAAATACATTTGGCTTGAGGTCATGAGCACAGCGAGGTCTGAGTGTCATGACCAAAAGTCAAATATTTTCCCAATAAGCCCCACCAAACTCAGTCAATAGGCATTTTAACATAATTATAACCACTAAGTTATTAAAATTTCAAAACTTTTTTTGTGTCAAACTATATCAGATAGACTTGCATGTAAAAGAAGGGTTTGCATTGGACAACTACTAAAAATATTCTACAGAAAGCAACTTCATTTATTTCTTTGAATTAGAACAAGAAATTCATGGTTCATTGAGAAGTATGACTCTTTCTCATTGGTTACATTTCCAATTGAAGTCCTTGATTCCAATCAATACTCTAGGAAAATGCAAAAGAGCTATACGACTGCAGAGCAAGATGGCTTTTTTCAGACCACCTGTCTGGCTCTACACACCCCAGCTTCTACTATGGTTTGTTATGGAGTTGCAGACCCGGGGCTGTATAGTCATATGATACATAACAATAACAGTTAAAGAGTTAATCCACAGAGTGTACATAGGAAATTTATTTTAAAAAATGACCTGAAAATTTGTTTTCTTGATTATGACATTTGTTTGTAGCTAATGTATTTATAAGCAAATACGAATCTCAAAGTACCTTGATGTATGTTTCATAGACATCAGAAAAGAAATTCTTTATTCCATCATCATTTCTCACATCATGAAGCATCATAAATCTCTTACATTATATAAGTCAAGGGAAAAGAAAGCTTAAGTTAAACGCTCTTTTCAGAATGTTTTTTACCAAAGAATTCCACATTGTTCCAAATCATTACACAGTTGTATCCAAAATCCAAGCTAATGAGTGCACAATCCTAATGACCATTTTTATTGTGCATTTGCTCATGGACAAACAATTGAATGTCCTCACTCCTATGAATTTTTTCCCTTCTGATCATGTACATGTACACAGCTCAACCACATATCTCTACTAAATTAAAGTATTTGCTATTTCTATTACCTTCTCTGTGTAAACAAATATCAAATCTGGAAAACATCATCATCTTAATTCCAAACTTTTACTGGAGTAAACAAAAGTGGTCTTTGTTTTTGTTAAATTAAGTGTAACCATGAAAAAACAGAATCCAATATTTGGCCCCATTTTTGAGACATAGACCAGTGCTTGAATGCATTCAACTAGAAATATGACCTACTCAGGTCACACTGTCACATAAACAAGTACTGAATAAACTTGGGTG